TAAATAAAAACGATTACACTCCAAAAGGCATACAATTTTAAATATGTAATAGATATTTTATGCTATTTCTCTATAAAGCATAGATCACAACCTTGAAATAAGAATTCAGACCCAGCAATAGGGTACTAATCATCCCCATTAGGTACACAAACAAAATTAGGACTGCCTTTCTTTTCCGAGGCATCTCACTGCTTTCTACATCTCCATGTGAAGAGAATATGCCTGCCAAAAACACACTCAGAATTCCTCTGCTAACAGCCACTTGTAAAAATAAAACTTTGAAAAGGCATAAAGAGAAGAAACAGCATGTTCTAAATGCTGTGAGGAACCCAACATGATTTTCATTGGTCTTGGGCCCTGGCAGCCATTCGACTTGCACTTTACTGTCTCAGCTCCTAGATTCATAGACCAGTTCTCAGTTCTAGGGCTGAGGAAGAACCATTTGCATGATTTCATTTGTAGCTTTTTCATGCTACTTCCAATGTAAAGTCACCACAAAAGTAACATCCACTTTTGAATCCTGAGAGAAGTTCAAAAGGTTGTTGGTTCCAAAGAAAACTAAATAAGGCTTAACATGTAAGAAAAAAGTTTCAATTTATTTTTTTAATTCATTTTTCCTACATACTTCCAGAAAGGCTTTGAAGCAACAAACAGAAAAAATGGATGCATAGATAGTAGTATTTGATAAAAATAAAATATCAAATCAAGTGGGAAAAGATAATTATAACAAAAACTCAGACTTATATACTTCATAGCAGTGTAATTCGGGTAAGAATTATTTTCACTGATGCAGTTTTATTAGGAGAAATAGATTTTTCTTGGTATCAAAGTCTAAGATTGAGTAATATTCTGGGAATATAGAAAGTACACTAAGCAATATGAGCACGCAATAAGATGGAAGTATCTTCAGCAATTCTTTTACTGAAGTTAGACAAAGGTACTTCATCTGAAATGTGCTATAAATTGATGAATATTTTTATATAAGGAGATTAATTGTAATTACTAGAGATCGAACTCTGTGGTAACACAGAAAAAGAAGTTTTTAAATGTCTAAAGAATGTGTGTATCAGAGAGCTCTAATATCAAGTGCTGATTCAAATCTTAGATTTTTAAAGATCTATACAAATTCATTTTCTAAGTGCTGAGGAACAAACTCAGTGTTGTTGACGGAAAACACATTAATATATGTTTTGTAATAGTGTTTCCTTCCTGGAAAATTATAAAGCCTAAAGTGTTTCTCTTGAGTAAAGGGAGAGTGATTTCTCTGTACCATTCTGAGCAGCAAGAATATCTGCTGAGTGAACCACAAAATGTGTCTGCGATGCATCATTTCTATATGCTCCAGGCTGAACAGTCTCATTTATCCCAAAGTAACATGCAAAATGTGTGAACGTGTGCGTATAGACTCCAGCCTTGGCCATAAAAGAAGCCTTGTCTTTGTTCCTTGCTTCACAGATCTGACATGAAAATGTATATCTAAATTTTCCATGGAAGACTTTTAATACATGGATTTGATAACCTGACTGTGTGAAATGATTTGGGAATCAGCATTGTGAGAGACCAAGACATTCTTAGAGACAGTTTCTAAATAGCATATAAGACTCCTCCCAGCCTTCCCAATAGCATACCAGCCATGGAATTTCAATATTCATCATCTCCTCTTTAGAGGAGACTTTAAATTAAATTTAAACTAATTTTTTACACTTGATGAATGATTTTTATTAGTTGAAATTTAGGGAGATCATGCTGATGAAACATTAATATTAGTTCTGTCTCAAAAATTAAATTTAAAAGAAAATCTTTCTCTTAGAAGAAACTAAGACAATATTGTAAACTGTACTCCAATAAAAACTAATTAAAAACTAGAAAATGAAGGAAATATAACATTAAAAAATAATAATAATATAAAAAATATTGCTCTTATCTTTCTCAGTTCACTTAGGGGCCAAAATTAGTTTTCACTGAAATTTGTCTTTCCCATTATAATTTCCCAGGATGATGTTATTTTCTTTTTGGTACCCATCACCTGCCTGTGTAGTGGTTACCTAGATACACACTAGATGATATGCTTTGTAAGGGCAGATAAGGTTGTTTTTTTGTTGTTGTGTCTGGCCTCTCCAATGGTGCATGCATACTCAGTTGTGTCTGACTCTTTGTGATCCCATGGACTGTAACCCACCTCTGGCCTTGGAATTTTCCAGGCAAGAATACTGGAGTGGGTTGCTGTCTCCTACTCCAGGGGATATTCTTCACCCAAGGATCAAACCCGCATCTCTGGTATTTCCTGAATTAGCAGGTGGATTCTTTACCACTGGTGCCACCTGGGAACCCTGGCCTCCCCAACGCCTTAGCCCAGATATGGTCATGTCTAGTCGAGCAGAGAATGACAGGTGAATTGAATTAAAGTTGTGGGTTCAACTGCAGAAGAAAATAGCCTGTATATAGAAATTTGAATGGTGTCAATATGTCAGATGTTTCTAAAAAAAAAAAATCCTAGGCTGATCTCTTAAAGACAAAAATTTTAAATGAGTTTTTTATAAAAAGTAGCAAAGATATTTCACAAAATTTCTATTAAACTTGTAACTAGCACATATGAAACAATCTAGCAGATTTGCATACAGATTGAGAACAGGTGTGCAAATCTCTTAGGTAGTGGGGTGTACACGTACTGTACATATTGAGAAGGAAAAGTCTGTTCATGGGACTCTGACCAGAAAAGGAAGCCTAGAGAGATGTCTCAGTGTGAAAGGCTGGACAGCTCAGGGGAAGGCCAAGGGAACAGGGGAGCTGGGAAAGGAGGCTAACAAGGAAAATAAAGTGGGACATGGGATAAGAGTCAAAGCGGCCAAGAGAGAGTCAGTCGTTCAGTCGTGTCCAGCTCCCTGTGACCGCATGGACTGAGTCTGTAGCCCACGAAGCTCTCTATCCATGGAATTCTCCAGGCAAGAATACTGGAGTGGGGTGCCATTCCTTTCTCCAGGGGATCTTCCTGACCCAGGGATAGAATCCAGGCCTCCTGCATTGCTGGCAGATTTTTTACTGCCACCAGAGTTAAAAAGGGTGGCTCTCTAATCTGAGCTACCAGAGAAGCCCAAAGATGCCAAGGGAAAGCTTAACCCATTTCTCAACTTGCCCAAAAGCACAACTAGCTATTAGAAAGCCCATGCTGCATTTCACTAAAGAACAGCCTAAAACTTTCTCTGAGAAAGTGTGTCTAGTCATTTGGATTTTTTAAGATACTCTCCACCCTCCTTTCCTTCATAACAGTCATATCTTGACAAAAGCAAAGCCAACTGTCAATATGCCAGTAGACCCATGATTCCACATCTGGCCTTAACCTGTGTTCAATCGGGAACACATTTCAGCACTTGCTTGAAATAATTGCCTGGGTAAACGTATATCCTCTTTGGTAGCTGTGTTTTCTCTTCTAGGTCATCAGTCTTGTGAAACAATCATTTGAATTTACCAAACTGTATTCTAATCATCTGGACAAAGAATCCCACCTTCCACAAAGGATCTGCTCTTTATACAAAAGAGCAGCACACTTGAATTGCAATTCCCCTGAGAGTGGCACCTTAACATAGCATTTATTGGGAGGGGACAAGGATTTGGCATTAAAGCAGTGAACGACCACCTGCCAGCAACAGTTCCACAATGGGATAACACACTTAAGTTGATGGCTAAGTGCATCTGATTTTATCCAAAACAGCCCTGCCTTCCTGAACTTCTGTAGGTACCCTCTTTAAGTGACGTCTCAGTGGGGTTGAGTTTGGAATTGTCTGTGCAACTTTCATGCCTCCTTGAAGTCACACATGCACTTGGAAAGAAAATAGTAGCGAACTGCACAAGAACTGAAAGAAGGTTTCCAGCTCCTGCCATAGGAAACACAGAGGTGAATACACCTTTTGGATTTTTGGTTAAATTTACAAATGCATATTTAAATAGACATATAATGTTAAATTTGTAATGTAGATTTGAAAATATCTTCAAAGGATTTTAAAACAGATTTGAGCTAATATTTTGTTTTAGGCATTATGAAAGTATATAGATATTACTAGCAATATTGTAGTAATGCTTAATTAATACATAAGAATGGAAACATTTTATATATAATTCTATTCCTTGAAGGCCCACTCATTATTTAACAACCACAGAATGTCAGGAATTTCATCCATAAACTTCTACAACCCTGTAGTTAATTCAAGATCAGCAGCCAGTGACTACAACTTAACATTTAGTGTTGTTAACATGTGATATCTTTGCTATATTTAAGATAGTATCTGGGGGGAGGCCCGAATTTGATATATGGTTAACTTTAATTCCAAATTCTGGATTCTAAATTACGTAACAGGTAACTAAAGAATCAAGACAGAAGAAATTGCTGTCTCTTAGTGAAAGAGTCTCTCCCCCCTCAAAATAAAACCTTAGCCCAATCTGTTATGCGAGATCTACATTCTGCCTGGGCAAAGATTCCACCCCAGTGCAAAATATCTCCTATTGCCCTGCTGTTTCTTTAACTGCTATATAGATACTCCTAAATTAGCTATAAAAGGTACATACTATAGTACAATAGCCATCAAGTTCAAATTTGTCTCCCCATACATTACTGCAAAAAAGCGTAGCATTCACAGCACTAAAATACTACTTCTGAGAGAAATGAGTTGAAAGAACCACACATTTCCCATTTACAGGGCTATGCAACCACTAGAAACAGCAAGGGATTGCATAATGTTTCAAAAGTTTTTCTAGTGCTATGTCACTGAAGTACATGAAAAGCTAATATGTTTTTAAAATACATCTTGAAAAACTGATAAAAGGTTGTGCTTTGGGTTTCAGAAAATAAAAAATAAAAGAACTCCTTCAGGATGCATGAAGTTACACTTTAAGCACAGTCTTTATGGCTTTGTTATAACTTAGTGCCAGAATTCACAAGTTAAGGATGAAAAAGAAATTATTTTTCCTGATAGCCCTGGAGCCATCTAGGATACATCATGACTTACCTAAAGATGGGTCTTTGGAGATGTTTCCTCCTGATTGTGACATGGTCATCCATTTAAAGGTGAAAGTTTAGCTTGTTCCTGGAAACCACTCCAGAAATCCAGGGAGAGAATGGGGAAGCTTATCCTGATCTATTGTCCTGCAAGGAGCCCAGAAGGCAAAAGTGGTTTCCTCTTTCTCTTTTTGGGTGCTGGGAGAACACTTCCCTGCTCTCTGCCAGCTGAGTAATGCGTCCATAGAGGCCACATAAGATAGGCACGATGGGGCACTCCCCCACAAAGCAGGGTGTGCGGAAACACCAACAGTCACGTTGACATGGGCAAGGGGCGTGCACGGGACCCTCGGAAACAGAGCAAAAGGAACAGAAGCCTTCCTACCCCCGTGGCACCCAGGTGGGAGCTCCCTAAGTTATCGCAGCCATGAGAGCGCTCCTTCCACATGCTGGTCAAGCTCGGAAACGCTGAGTCCCTCCCTGTCTTTAAAACAGCCCGTTCGGAGGCTCAACTTTTTTTCTTCAAAATAAAAGTTGTACAGCTGGCTCAGCAGTCCCATGTGAGTACCCTCAGAAAGTTTGTTCTGTTAAAATAAGAACTGTATACAAATTAATGAAGAAAGATGGGCTGAAGCTGCACGGCTGGCTTTGCTCCGAGAGATTATAATTATTTTACAATCTTGCTTTTATTCATGCTGGATGAAGTGTGGAGACAACTCATCATTTTTGGCACTCATAACCTAATAACCTACACTTGGCTAAAGTCAAAGATGCCATTTCAACTGATAGAAGCTCTGTGAAGCTGGCCAGAGCTACAGAAGTTAGAAAAACAAAAATTGCTCAATTCCATCAGTGACACTGTACACAAATGCAGCTTTTCGACTAAGAAAGGACACTGCAAAAAGATATGGAAACACACACACACACATTACACTTTTTTTTAGTTCCCAAAACTCCCTAGGAACCTAAGGTTTTTATATGATAAAATCAAATTTTAATTTATGAAAATAAAAGGGAAGAAAACTAGGTATAAGAGAGAGGCTGTGAACTGAAAATAAACAGTAAAAATTGTTTTACTTGGAAGACAGACTCACACTGTAGGGACTTTTGTTCAAGTTACAAATAAGGTGAATCCTCATATTTTAATATAATATTCTGGAGACATTCCTGTATCTAAATCACTAACAAATTTCTTCTCAATCAGTAATGTCATGAGATTCCAGGCTAGAGGTTTGTTATGAAAAAAAATTCTCAAAGCATGATTAAATGTTTTAAAAGTACACATGTTAAAAGGAGGATAAACTGAGAAACACACATGCTTTCACTGAATGATCCATAAAAATAAGATTTAAATGTCACAGAGGGGGATATGCTCTATATGATAGCAGTCTATAGCTCTTAGCACCCTCCAGATATGTCCACAGAAGCAAGAACACCTTTTTATTTTCCTCCCACAGGAGAGACAAAGAAAAAGAGAATTAAAAATAAATCACTGATTACATTGAGCAGTTCTAATCCATGCTAGGAAATGGAATCAGTCTGAGAAAGCACTGAACTAAAAATAAAATAAATGGTTTCTAGTCCTAGTTTTATGAATATGCTGGGCCATTGTGAGAAAATTTCTTGACTTATCTGAGCTCCAGTTTCTGTTTGTAAAATAAAGCTATAATATTAGTTGAATTCTATGTTCCTGTCCAGCTTTAGTCGTTCCAACAGACTCTTTCTAAGTATGATTAGTCTGCTGCTTGCAGAGATACTAGCATGGGCCTTATGGTACATGATACTCCAAAAAATACATTTTCATTATGTGAAGTAATAAATAAAAAGGAAGATCATTTTATATATTTATGTAGCTATTATGTATCAATGTAATTATGTATAAATCAAGGTTTTCTTCACTATCAATAAGCATTCAATCATAATTTGACATGTGTGCAATATTGCAGCTATATCCAGAGACCATCTACATGTAAACTGATATGCAGACCTTAGGGTAGTGACTTCATTACAACTTTATGCTTTTGCTTTCTTTGTATATGTAATAGCACATTACAGAGATATTCTGGGAAGATTTCTGCATTTATGGATGGCATTCAATTTCTGTACTCATGGTTTATCTATATCACTATTAATTTAGCATAAATATCCCTGAGGAACAACTCAAGAGAAAAATAAGCCTATCAACTTTTAAAAAATAACTCCCACTTTGTCTCCTTTTGATTTAGAAAAGTGTGATGACTTCTTCATTAACATGTTGGAAGGAACTCAACAAAATACTAATAAACATCTAGCCAAGGTACAATTCAAATGACAAGCAAGCATACAATCTTACTTGAGGCTCAAAGCCTTGATTATTAACCATAGAATCTGAAAGCTATTAAGCTAATTACAGAAAATCCATAACATCATTGTTGCATTAGGTTCATATTCTTTCTGCTCTGAAGTTAAAGTAGAAAACTTAGATTCTCACTTACATCAAGCACTAAATTTATTTTAAAATCCAATCATAAAACTTAAGGATCCATAAGAAGATAACAGTAAGTTAAATAGTCACTTGACACAAAGAAAAACATCTATTTCTTAAAAGCTTTCATTAATATTTTTTCAGACAGCATTTAAACTTAATATTGGAAAGAAAGGTTTGCTTTATTAATTTAATGTAGTATTCAATAAGATGAAATAACCTCACTGTTGTTGCTTAAATTCCAAAAATACAGTCTTTAACACAACTATACTGTGAAAAATGCTAAAACTTATCATACAGGCTGTCTCCTATTAAAATATGCTAAGTATAGTATATTTTTAATAGTTTTTCCAGGGGTTGGCTGTCAGAAATTGTTTTTATATTTTTTCTATTAAGGTGAACTCTCAGTGTGACTTAGCCTAGCACTTTTACCACTACTCTGCACACACGCACACACCCGTACATATACCGGCACACTTCCCCCAACTCAGCACTGTTAGACCCTTATAATAGGTGCTCAACAAATATTTCTTAATTTATTAGAATTCTTAGCACAACACACAGAACATATCCGTCATAAGCAACTCATTTTATATGATGAGAAACATAGATTAACTTGCATGATTTTTCCAACCAAGTGGATACTAAGTATGTCATGGCATTTTGTGTGAAGCCTCGTGGAAAATGATAAACTTTACTTTTTCTTGTTTTCTGATTGTAATAATCTATTCTTTGACCCTGTTTGTAATGTACAAGAGCTAACCAGCATGCAATAGTATAAAAATCATATAGTATTGTGGATATGTCAGTCCAAGAACTGGAAATTGAGTGCAGCTACCAGTTATCACTTTACCGTAGAACTCTACTCAAATATCAGTCTGAGACAAAGAGGGTGTGCTTTTTTTCCAATACAATTCAATTAAACACAATGTTATAAGTTATATGTTTAAGTGAGTTTTTAAATTAAGTGGAGAAAGAGGAAGGAAGTGCAAGAAAGAAATGATCAGATGGGATTATAGATTTTCTCGTTGTATACATACGACATGATTTAAAATTTTTTACAGGTTTCACACTGATGATGAAGCTAGTTGATGGATGGTAGAGCTGGGATCTGAACCCAGATGCCTTGCTCTTGAGCCCCTGCTTTTACCCCTATTGTGTAGGGGTAAAATGTAGGCATTGGGTCCTTTCTGGGCTATCATCCACATTCTAAAGAGAAACAAAAGAAACTAACCCCTTTGATGAGTATCTATTCTTCTCCTAATCCTATCCTTACTTAAACATCACTGCATGACCCATTATGTTTCCAATACTTACAAGAGCCAGCCCAAGAAATGGTCTATGAATATCGAGGTGAAATAATCAATGAATATGTTCTACAAAGATCTGAATGGAAACTCTTTTCCATTACAAACAGCCTTGAACTAATGTCAAGGAACACATATTTAAATCCCAACTTTAGCAGCGATATCCTCTTCAATTCTATGAATATCTGTTTCCTTACCAGCCAAACTAAAATGTCAGGCTAGATGACCTCTAAGATCCTTTCCAGCCCTAACTTTTTGTGACTCTATGACTGACATATGATGTCAAGTTATTTAAACTTAGTGTCCAAGCAAGAATAAACTCTGTAATCATTTTTAGCTTTTCCTGACCACAACAAGATCATGCATACCACCAGAATACTTTCCGTTACTACTGTTGTGAAAGTAAAGCTATCTAACATACTACTATTGAATGTGCAACTACATATTCATTTTTCTAATTAGGCAGTTTTCTTTCTTTCTATAGCTTCAGCTGGGAACTAGTCACCTGAATGTGAGTTCCAGGAAGACAAGGGCTGGTGTCCATTGTATTCCCTATGCACAATATATAAGAGGCATGAATGTGTGCTCAGTCACTTCAGTCGGGTCCGACTCTCTGCAACCCTATGGACGGCAGCCCACCAGGCTCCTCTGTCTATGGAATTCTCCAGGCAAGAACACTGGAGTGGGTTAACCATGCCCTCCTCAAAGCATCTTCCCACCCCAGGGATCAAACCTCTCTGTCTCCTGCATTGCAGGCGGAGCCTTTACCACTGAGCCACCAGGGAAGCCCATGTAAGAGACAGTCATGGCTATTTATTGAATGAATGAACACAAAGTGCTAATTAATGCTACCTCATTATTTTCTTGTACATTCTTTTTCTAAAAACTTGGGCATATCTGGCAAATGTTCAGTTTTATGTATTTCCTCCAACCCACTATTTTTCTTCAAAGAGGTGTCTGAGTTTATAGACAGGCGGGCTTCTTTGACCTTCCAGCGGCAGAAAGAAGGGAGCCTCAAACCCAAACCCGCAGGTTCCTGCCATCCTTTGTTCTCTGGAATCTGCAACAATGTCCTTTAACTGTTTGGTCACTTCACTCCCTGCTGACATCTACTGCTGAAATCTGTAGCTGGTCTGTACAATTGGCTCAGTTTGGGAATGGTGGTCATCTCCTCATTGAGCCCAATCTCAGCCTTTACTGCAAGACTGCTACAAGACTCTCTAAGTCTGTCTTTCAACTTGGCTAACATTAACCCCTCTCACCACACTGCATGAGGCAAATGGATGCCTGAC